AAAAAGTTATTTTCATTGAGTCAGGTAAGGAGACACCATAAAACTTGGCTATTAAAGATGAATTATTGATTATTAAATACGATCATCGAAGTTAAGCAACATCGAGCCTAGTCAGTTCCGACATAGGTGACCGCTTAAGAATACTATAATTTTCGATGTGCGGGTTATGTGCTGTTCGTGTTACACGCTTATGCGATCATGTATCTTTCGATACTTTACTGACGAGACAGATTTTTTCCCGCAGTAGGTTGCCATTTCTTTTCTGCAGTAGACCAGTTGCTATCCAAGGCTATAGAACCCGGTCTGTCTTGCTATTTACCCATACCCGGGGCAAGAAGAGGATTCATACCTTTTCCTAAAGGTATTAGCATGTAAGTGAATTTCAGGCAGTTATGTGCCATACGTGATACACGCTTAGGCGATCATGTATCTTTTGATACATGACTGACGAGGCAGATTTTTTCCCGCTGTAGTTTGCCATTTCTTTCTGCGGGGGAAAGAGGATTCATACCTTTCCCAAGATTATTAGCGCGTAAGTGAATTTCAGTCAGTTATGTGCCATGGGTGATACATACTTAGGCGATCATGTATCTTTTGATACATGACTGACAAGGCAGTTTTTCCCGCAGTAGGTTGCCATTTCTTTTTATGCGATAGATGAGTTGCCATCCAAGGCTACAGAATCCGGTCTATTTACCCATAGCTGGGGTTGGGGGAGAAGAAGAGATTTCATACCTTAGTGGATTCAAACCATATTGGGCACGTAAGTGAATGTAATGGATTTGACTGGAATTCGAACTCGGCTCTCCGATTCCTCAATCCGAGCCGCTATCCATTACTCCACATTGGGTGCTGAAATAGATAACTGTCTGAAATTGGAACTAGGCTCTTCGATTACCAATTCCACCTGCGTTCATTATAGTCACTTACGCGCAAATATCCTTGGGAAAGTTATAAATCAACCTCTTCTCCCTACCCCCAACTATAGCAACTGGTCTACCGCAGAAAGAAATGGCAACCTACTGAGGGAAAAAAAATCTGCCTCGTCAGTCATGTATCGAAAGATACATGATCGCCTAAGCGTGTATGGACTAATTTGTAGAAATTGTATCAGTAAAAATCATTAATATTTCCCCCAAAATTCTCACAATTGAAAAAATATTTTCTGGCTTTAAATAACCCGCAAAATGTGGTTAAACCGTAGATTTCTGGATGTAAATTAATTTTGTAGAATTAAAACACAATCCATTGTTATTATTATTATTATTATTATTATTATTATTGTTGTTGTTGTTGTTGTTGCTGTTGAACGGCTGAGATCCAACGAAATAAATTCTGCATTCATTATTATATTTCTATGTTCTTGCATTGAGTTATCTTTGTATTTATATCCTCCTTGGAATTATCCCTACTAATCCTAAGTTATATTATTCATATATATATATATATATATATATATATATATATATATACTAATAGTAGCACTCGTTTTGAAAACTTCGGATAGCTCAACTTGAAGATATATCAGGACAAATCATTACTCGAGGAAAAAAATTGGAAATAAAGAAAGAACTAAAAATATCAAAGCAAGATTAAACAAATCGACAAGTGCTTTAAGTCCTTAGCCCAAATGAGAAGAAAAAAAAAACCAAATGAGTAGGAAGATTAAAACGTAGAGTGCTCAATACGATAAGTAGAGCCATAAACTAGAATAAATCCTAAGGAGTCAGGCAAACCTACATAGGTTTCACCTAAACGGATCTTCAGGGTAAACTGGACACTGAACCATATACTTATATATACATATATATGAAAAGTGGACACTGAGGTTATATATATATATATATATATATATATATATATATATATATATATATATATATATAAATTAATTGATTTAAAATATGTTTTTTTCCGCTACACAGTTCTAACCATGTTTCAAAAATAGAAGCTAAAAGCCCTGAAATTAATTTTGCAATTAAATTAAAAGCATTAGTTCCATTTCATCCTCAAGCGAATTATGGAGTAACTTTTTTAAAATTACTGGGTTTTAAAGACACAGCTAAAATCACGTTTCCATGGTTACAGAATATTCTACTTCAATTGGACAAGGGATGTCTAGGTCTTCCTCATGACAGTATCATTGTATCAGTTATTAGCTACAATTTGGTAAGGGGTAGGGATGTATATATATATATATATATATATATATATATATATATATATATATATATACTTTTATACTTACACATATTATATCTCTGAAAAGGTTACTGAATAAGAATAACCAAAACGAAGGGTGGAAATGGAATGATAATATTTATAACGGGAACAACGTACAAGATTCGCCAGCGGCGTGTCGTAAGTAATCAACTGCCAATGGTGAGCTAGAAGTGAATCCCAAGTGACAATATCCACTAACTGCCCAACGCGGTCGGATGTGTCACAAGGCCGAGGTCATTGTGGGCTATGAAAATCCGTACGCTCAGCCAAAATTTCCCAGTTTATCCCGTAAAAACGATGTCGGGTAGATGTTTCCCGAGACGAGACCTGCTACATAGCCTCGTCTAGGGATCCTCTCTGCCCGGGAGCAGAGAGTCTAACCAGCACACTTGGAAGTGAATCCCAAGTGACGTTACTCCCTAACCACCCCACGTGGTCAGATGTGGCACAAGGCCGTGTTTATAGTTGGGTATCCGAATCTGTACGCTCGGCCAAAAACTCCCCGTAGACCCCGTACAAACGGGGTTGGGTCGCTCTTTCCCGAGACGAGACTCTGCCCTGCGACATAGGACATAGACTGGGGATCCTATATATATATATATATATATATATATATATATATATGTGTGTGTGTGTGTGTGTGTATAAGTGGACACTGAGGTCAACACCAATCGGTATGTTTCAATCTCCAACTTGCTGTTGACTTCAGTGTTCACTCATATTTATATATGCTCTATTTCTGATGTTAAGCACTTAATTATTGCATACTTTATTTTATATATATATATATATATATATATATATAAAAGTGAACATAGACGTCAACACTTAGAGGCGACAGTCTGTTTCATGCTATATGCAATCGTCAGGTGGCCTGACGATTGCATCTAGCATGAAACAGGCTGTCGCCTCTAAGGGCTGACTTCAATGTTCACTTTTATATTTACACACGCTCTATCTCTGATAATGAGCACTTTATCCCATAAATATAGCACGCCTTAAAACTATATTTCTCCATATATATATATATATAATGTGTCTGTGTGTGTGTGTAAGAGAAAGAGTATGTGTGTGTGTGTGTTGGCATAATCCTATAATGCTGTTAAATGCCGATATGTTAAGAGTCAAATAAAGAAAGAGAGAATTTCCCGCCAGAAACTAGAAAACAAAATGTCTCCATTGAAACCGCTAATTCTTTTTGATGGCCTTAGTTGTTCGAACCGAACAAAATATAATACATAGGAAAGCATTAATTTGTATTGATACTTTTTCCTGTTGTTAAAGGCAAACCTTTGGAATTCAAGTCGATCAAATCCAAATGAACATTTGTCCCGTTTAAACTTTTCAAAATCAAGTACAAACCAGGAGTTTCCGATGCGCAGAATTCGATTTTTTCTGTCGACTGATCTTTCGTTTCTTCGATGACGAAAATAACAAATTGGTTTGAGCGGTTTTCAAGTTTGTTTGTTTTGTTTTTTTTTTGTTTTTTGTTTTTTTTGTGACAATATTTTCTGGAATCAAAGTTTGAGTGAAATGTGTTATGATTTGTTCAAAATTTTCCAATCTTTGAATCCTTCTTATATTTATGTCCGCTTCATTTTTTTTCTTTTTGTATAAACACCTCCCTTTGGCCCCCCCCCAAATTTCATGAAATATGAAAGAAAGGGGGAGAAAGTTAAAAAATTGCCTAAACATAGAAATTAAGAATCATTACGATTAAAATTAGAAAAGAAAGAATGAGGACAAGAAAAGGAAGAAGTTAAGAAAGAAAGAGGATAAGAAAAAAAAAGAAAGAAAGAAGATAAGAAAAGGCAGAAGGTAAGAAAGAGGACAAGAAGAAGTAGAAGTTAAGAAAGAAAAAAAGAAAGAAAGAAAGAAAGAAAAAGTAGAAGATAAGAAAGAAAGAAAGAAAGAGGGTAAGAAATGACCAAAGGTAAGAAATAAATAAAAGGAAGAGAGGATAATAAATGTAAAAGATAAGTAAGAAAGGAAAAAAGAAGAGCATAATAGAAGGTAAAAGCAAATAAAGAAAGAAAGAAAGAGAGAGAGAAAAAAAGAAAATAGAAAGAAAGAAATAGATAAACGAAAAGGCAGAAGCTAAAGAAAAAAGAAAATAAGTAGATAAGGAAAGGTATAAGATAAGAAAGTGGCAAAGGATGAGAAAAGGCAGAAGCTAAGAAAGAAAGAATGAAAGAACGAAAGAAAGAAAGAAAGTGGCAAAGGATGAGAAAAGGCAAAAGCTAAGAAAGGAAGAAAGAAAGAAAGAAAGAAAAGAAAGAAAAAGAAAGGCGGCAAAAAGGATGAGAAAAGGCAAAAGCTAAGAAAAAAAAAAAAGAAAGAAAGCGGCAAAGGATGAGAAAAGGCAAAAGCTAAGAAAGAAAGAAAGAAAGAAAGAAAGAAAGAAAGAAAGAAAGAAAGAAAGCGGCAAAGGATGAGAAAAGGCAAAAGCTAAGAAAGAAAGAAAGAAAGAAAGAAAGAAAGAAAGAAACACAGTAAGAAAGAGGCAAAAGATGAGAAAAGGCAAAAGTTAAGGAAAGAAAGAAAGAAAGAAAGCGGCAAAGGATGAGAAAAAGCAAAAGCTAAGAAAGAAAGAAAGAAAGAAAGAAAGAAAGAAAGAAAGAAACACAGTAAGAAAGAGGCAAAAGATGAGAAAAGGCAAAATTTAAAGAAAGAAAGAAAGAGGCAAAGGATGAGAAAAGGCAAAAGCTAAGAAAGAAAGAAAGAAAGAAAGAAAGAAAGAAAGAAAGAAAGCGGCAAAGGATGAGAAAAGGCAAAAGCTAAGAAAGAAAGAAAGAAAGAAAGAAAGAAAGCGGCAAAGGATGAGAAAAGGCAAAAGCTAAGAAAGAAAGAAAGAAAGAAAGAAAGAAAGCGGCAAAGGATGAGAAAAGGCAAAAGCTAAGAAAGAAAGAAAGAAAGAAAGAAAGAAAGAAAGAAAGAAAGAAAGAAAGAAAGAAAGAAAGTGGCAAAGGATGAGAAAAGGCAAAAGCTAAGAAAGAAAGAAAGAAAGAAAGAAAGAAAGAAAGAAAGAAGGAAAGAAAGAAAGAAAGAAAGAAAGAAAGAAAGAAAGAAACAAAGGAAGAGAAAAGGCAAAAGCTAAGAAAGAAAAAAAGAAAGAAAGAAAGAGGCAGAGGATGAGAAAAGGCAAAGAAAGAAAGAAAGAAAGAAAGAAAGAAAGAAAGAAAGAAACATTAAGAAAGAGGCAAAAGATGAGAAAAGGCAAAAGTTAAAGAAAGAGCCAAAGGATGAGAAAAGGCAAAAGCTAAGAAAGAAAGAAAGAAAGAAGGAAAGAAAGAAAAAAGGAAAGAAAGAAAGAGGCAAAGGATGAGAAAAGGCAAAAGCTAAGAAAGAAAGAAAGAAAGAAGGAAAGAAAGAAAAAAGGAAAGAAAGAAAGATGCAAAACATGAGAAAAGGCAAAAGTTTAAGAAAGAAAGAAAGAGGCAAAAGATGAGAAAAGGCAAAGGCTAAGAAAGAAAGAAGGAAAGAAAGAAAAGGAAAGAAAGAAAGAGGCAAAGGATCAGAAAAGACAAAAGCTAAGAAAGAAAGAAAGAAAGAAGGAAAGAAAGAAAAAAGGAAAGAAAGAAAGATGCAAAACATGAGAAAAGGCAAAAGTTTAAGAAAGAAAGAAAGAGGCAAAAGATGAGAAAAGGCAAAGGCTAAGAAAGAAAGAAGGAAAGAAAGAAAAGGAAAGAAAGAAAGAGGCAAAGGATGAGAAAAGACAAAAGCTAAGAAAGAAAGAAAGAAAGAAAGAAGGAAAGAAAGAAAAAAGGAAAGAAAGAAAGATGCAAAAGATGAGAAAAGGCAAAAGTTTAAGAAAGAAAGAAAGAGGCAAAAGATGAGAAAAGGCAAAAGCTAAGAAAGAAAGAAGGAAAGAAAGAAAAGGAAAGAAAGAGGCAAAGGATGAGAAAGACAAAAGCTAAGAAAGAAAGAAAGAAAGAAGGAAAGAAAGAAAGAAGGAAAGAAAGAAAAAAGGAAAAAAGAAAGAGGCAAAGGATGAGAAAGACAAAAGCTAAGAAAGAAAGAAAGAAAGAAGGAAAGAAAGAAAGAAGGAAAGAAAGAAAAAAGGAAAAAAGAAAGAGGTAAAGGATGAGAAAAGGCAGAAGCTAAGAAAGAAAGAAAGAAAGAAAGAAAGAAAGAAAGAAAGAAAGAAAGAAAGAAAGAAAGAAAACGTCGAAAGCAATAGAAAAGTGAAAAAGTTATCTTAAAAAAGAAAGAAAGAGGCAGAAATCAAAAAGGAATAGATGTTAGCAATGAATGAAAAAAAAGAAGAAAGACATAAACGGAAGTAAGCAGAGAGATTTACAATCAAATGTTAAGAAAAAAACATCGAGACAGTGGGATATATATATAGAGAGATGTACTGAGAGACATAGAAATTGAAAGTGAAAGTGAAAGGAAAGCCAAGAAAAATGGCAAGAGAGAAGAGGCACAAAATAGAAAATAAGGGAGTGAGAAAGAGAGATGAGAGATTGAAACCAAAAGAGAGAAAGAAAAGACGCGAAATATAGAAACCCGCGTGAAAGAGCGAACGAGAGGAAGAGAGTGTGAGAGAGAGAGAGAGAGTGTGTGCGTGTGCGGGAGAGAAAGAGAGAGAGAGAGAGAGAAAGATGGAGTAATTGGGAAAAGAGTAAATGTTTTTCTGCCAGTCGCCATCCCATTCTTTGTATCGTTCGCTTCACTTATTGCCTTCTCCAATATGCCATCTGTGCTTTATCAATGAAAGTGCTTCGGACGACCTCTGGGAAATCCAACACAAGTGCATAAGGCGCCAGAAATATGATCCATATCGCGTAAGGATCCGTGCCTCGTTGGTCCGAGATGTTGTCGGTAGGCAAGTGACACACTCACTTGGCCATTACGTACACTGAAAGAAAGAAAGAAAGAAAGAAAGAAAGAAAGGAAAGGAAAGAAAAAAAGCCCGGGAATGTTCTGTCGGTACGTATAGAACGCAAATGTGGGCGAGAGTGAGACGTGTCTACAGAAAGTGAGAAATGCGAAGGCCGAAGAAAAATGGGGTCCGAGAAGAAAACATTTGCAAATTTCGAGGAGAGTCGTGTAAAAATCAAGCGGCGGCTTTGCGACAATAGTGAGGTGAAAAATAAGCCATTACTTCCGATGCATTCACGTGATTGAGGTCATATGATTGACTGTTTGCAAAAATCGCTAAATGGGAAGAGAGGGCCCAGCCGGCTTGATGCGGTCACCGGTCAGGCTAAGTGACATCAAAAGGTAAGAAGATAAAATTAGAGAGCTACACCAGGAACAAAGCAGAGGCTGAATTATTTCTTTTCTCTGGGGTTTTCCTTGTCTAAAGGCTTTTTTTTTTCTCTCACACATAGAAAGTGTGAAATACAGAAGAAATGGAGGATTGATTGTTAGTTTCCAGCGTTTCTTTAAACCCCATGCCCAATACAAAGGTCCATTAGAGAATTACAATCAGTTTTTCTCTCTACTTACTTTCGCCTCTCTCTGTTTTCACATTCTTCTCTTCGATACCCCTCCCTCTTTTTCTCTTATCTCTGCTTACATTTGCCTCTCGTTCCTCCTCCCACTCCCTCTTATCTCTTCTTACTTTCGCCTCTCTCGTGTCTTCCATTTCTTCTGTTCGCTCCCCTTCACTCTCTTTCGTCATTCTCTCTCTGGCCTCTTCGATTTCTTCTTTTCGATACCCCTCGCTCTTTTTCTCTTATCTCTGCTTACATTTGCCTCTCGTTCCTCCTCCCACTCCCTCTTATCTCTTCTTACTTTCACCTCTCTCGTGTCTTCTATTTCTTCTGTTCTCTCCCCTTCACTTTCTTTTGTCATTCTCTCTCTGGCCTCTTCGATTTCTTCTCTTCGATACCCCTCCCTCTTTTTCTCTTATCTCTGCTTACATTTGCCTCTCGTTCCTCCTCCCACTCCCTCTGATCTCTTCTTACTTTCACCTCTCTCGTGTCTTCCATTTCTTCTGTTCTCTCCCCTTCACTCTCTTTCGTCATTCTCTCTCTGGCCTCTTCGATTTCTTCTCTTCGATACCCCGCCCTCTTTTCCTCTTATCTCTGCTTACATTTCCCTCTCGTTCCTCCCTCCCACTCCCTCTTATCTCATCTTACTTTCGCCTCTCTCGTGCTTTCCATTTCTTCTGTTCTCTCCCCTTCACTCTCTTTGGTCATTCTCTCTCTGGCCTCTTCGATTTCTTCTCTTCGATACCCCTCCCTTTTTTTCTCTTATCTCTGCTTACATTTGCCTCTCGTTCCTCCTCCCACTCCCTCTTATCTCTTCTTACTTTCGCCTCTCTCGTGTCTTCCATTTCTTCTGTTCGCTCCCCTTCACTCTCTTTCGTCATTCTCTCTCTGGCTTCTTCGATTTCTTCTCTTCGATACCCCTCCCTCTTTTTCTCTTATCTCTGCTTACATTTGCCTCTCGTTCCTCCTCCCCTCCCTCTTATCTCTTCTTACTTTCGCCCTCTCTCGTGTCTTCCATTTCTTCTGTTCTCTCCCCTTCACTCTCTTTCGTCATTCTCTCTCTGGCCTCTTCGATTTCTTCTCTTCGATACCCCTCCCTCTTTTTCTCTAATCTCTGCTTACATTTGCCTCTCGTTCCTCCTCCCACTCCCTCTGATCTCATCTTACTTTCGCCTCTCTCGTGTCTTCCATTTCTTCTGTTCTCTCCCCTTCACTCTCTTTCGTCATTCTCTCTCTGGCCTCTTCGATTTCTTCTCTTCGATACCCCTCCCCTTTTTCTCTTATCTCTGCTTACATTTGCCTCTCGTTCCTCCTCCCACTCCCTCTTATCTCTTCTTACTTTCACATCTCTCGTGTCTTCCATTTCTTCTGTTCGCTCCCCTTCACTCTCTTTCGTCATTCTCTCTCTGGCCTCTTCGATTTCTTCTCTTCCATACCCCTCCCTCTTTTTCTCTTATCTCTGCTTACATTTGCCTCTCGTTCCTCCTCCCACTCCCTCTTATCTCTTCTTACTTTCGCCTCTCTCGTGTCTTCCATTTCTTCTGTTCGCTCCCCTTCACTCTCTTTCGTCATTCTCTCTCTGGCCTCTTCGATTTCTTCTCTTCGATACCCCTCCCTCTTTTTCTCTTATCTCAGCTTACATTTGCCTCTCGTTCCTCCTCCCACTCCTTCTTATCTCTTCTTACTTTCGCCTCTCTCGTGTCTTCCATTTCTTCTGTTCTCTCCCCTTCACTCTCTTTCGTCATTCTCTCTCTGGCCTCTTCGATTTCTTCTCTTCGATACCCCTCCCTCTTTTTCTCTTATCTCTGCTTACATTTGCCTCTCGTTCCTCCTCCCACTCCTTCTTATCTCTTCTTACTTTCGCCTCTCTCGTGTCTTCCATTTCTTCTGTTCTCTCCCCTTCACTCTCTTTCGTCATTCTCTCTCTGGCTTCTTCGATTTCTTCTCTTCGATACCCCTCCCTCTTTTTCTCTTATCTCTGCTTACATTTCCCTTTCGTTCCTCCGTCTCACTCCCTCTTATCTCTTCTTACTTTCGCCTGTCTCGTGTCTTCCAATTCTTCTGTTCTCTCCCCTTCACTCTCTTTGGTCATTCTCTCTCTGGCCTCTTCGATTTCTTCTCTTCGATACCCCTCCCTCTTTTTCTCTTATCTCTGCTTACATTTGCCTCTCGTTCCTCCTCCCACTCCCTCTTATCTCTTCTTACTTTCGCCTCTCTCGTGTCTTCCATTTCTTCTGTTCGCTCCCCTTCACTCTCTTTCGTCATTCTCTCTCTGGCTTCTTCGATTTCTTCTCTTCGATACCCCTCCCTCTTTTTCTCTTATCTCTGCTTACATTTCCCTCTCGTTCCTCCCTCCCACTCCCTCTTATCTCATCTTACTTTCGCCTCTCTCGTGCTTTCCATTTCTTCTGTTCACTCCCCTTCACTCTCTTTCGTCATTCTCTCTCTGGCCTCTTCGATTTCTTCTCTTCCATACCCCTCCCTCTTTTTCTCTTATCTCTGCTTACATTTGCCTCTCGTTCCTCCTCCCCTCCTTCTTATCTCTTCTTACTTTCGCCTCTCGTGTCTTCCATTTCTTCTGTTCTCTCCCCTTCACTCTCTTTGGTCATTCTCTCTCTGGCCTCTTCGATTTCTTCTCTTCGATACCCCTCCCTCTTTTTCTCTTATCTCTGCTTACATTTGCCTCTCGTTCCTCCTCCCACTCCTTCTTATCTCTTCTTACTTTCGCCTCTCTCGTGTCTTCCATTTCTTCTGTTCTCTCCCCTTCACTCTCTTTGGTCATTCTCTCTCTGGCCTCTTCGATTTCTTCTCTTCGATACCCCTCCCTCTTTTTCTCTTATCTCTGCTTACATTTGCCTCTCGTTCCTCTCCCCCTCCTTCTTATCTCTTCTTACTTTCGCCTCTCTCGTGTCTTCCATTTCTTCTGTTCTCTCCCCTTCACTCTCTTTGGTCATTCTCTCTCTGGCCTCTTCGATTTCTTCTCTTCGATACCCCTCCCTCTTTTTCTCTTATCTCTGCTTACATTTGCCTCTCGTTCCTCCTCCCACTCCTTCTTATCTCTTCTTACTTTCGCCTCTCGTGTCTTCCATTTCTTCTGTTCTCTCCCTTCACTCTCTTTTGTCATTCTCTCTCTGGCCTCTTCGATTTCTTCTCTTCGATACCCCTCCCTTTTTTTCTCTTATCTCTGCTTACATTTGCCTCTCGTTCCTCCTCCCACTCCCTCTTATCTCTTCTTACTTTCGCCTCTCTCGTGTCTTCCATTTCTTCTGTTCGCTCCCCTTCACTCTCTTTCGTCATTCTCTCTCTGGCTTCTTCGATTTCTTCTCTTCGATACCCCTCCCTCTTTTTCTCTTATCTCTGCTTACATTTCCCTCTCGTTCCTCCCTCCCACTCCCTCTTATCTCATCTTACTTTCGCCTCTCTCGTGCTTTCCATTTCTTCTGTTCACTCCCCTTCACTCTCTTTCTCTTATCTCTACCTTTATTCGCCTCTTCCCCCACCTCCCTCTCTCTCTTATCTCTTACTTTCGCTTCTCTCGTGTCTTCCATTTCTTCTGTTCACTCCCCTTCACTCTCTTTCGTCATACTTTCTCTCTCCTCTCTTCACTTTCTTCTATTCGATCCTCTTCCCTCTCTTTCGCTTATACCTTATCTCTACTTACACTCGCCTCTCGCTCCCCCCCACTCTCTTATCTTTTTACCTTCGTGTCTTTCGTGTCTTCAATTCCTACTCTTCTATCCCCCTCCCTCTCTTATCTCTACTTCCTTTGGCCTCTTTCGTGTCTTCATTTTCTTCTATTCGCTTCCCCTCCCCCTCTTTCTCTTACATATTAACTCTACTTACTTTCGCCTCTCGCTCCCCCTCCATCTCTCTCTTTCTCTTTTTTCCATAATCTTTTCTTCTCTCTCACTTCTTATCCGTTTTCTCTCTCTCTATCCCCATTACTTCTTCACTCTTCTAGCGACTTTCAAGATACCAACGTGACATTATTTGCCATGCATGGTTTCGTTTCGGCAGATCGATATTTCGTTCTCGGCATGACGATAAACTACATCCGGCAGCAAGACTTATAACCGGGAGTTTGTGAGCGGCGTGCAACTAATACTTAATTTCTCTTGTTCCCAAGTCCACCATAACCCAGGGTGGTAGCACCTGTAAGGGCCCCAGCTATGAGAAATTAGTGAACCCCCAAACTGGGGTCAAAACATGAAAATATAAAAATATGGATCAATTGTCATCTAAATTACGCAAAAATAACACTGACATCTCATTTTATCAGATATATTTACCAAAATTACACCAAAATATCTTGAAATAATAAAGAGTAAATTTATTCAATAAAATCGTCACTGGCTTACACTACAGCCTCCAGACAACTTCGGAATCTCCTGCAACTCTTCTGGACGGTCTCCTTTTTTAAGTTGGTGACTGCTGCCATAATTTTTGCCTCCAGTTCATCTTTGGTGTTACAAGGAATTTTGTTGCTCCCTTGCACAACTGCACCCCACACATAATAATCAAAGGAATTGTAGTCTGTGGAGTTGGCCAGATGAAATGTCTGATGTGGTCACAGAAATTGTCTGACAGCTATGACTAGGTACTGCTGTTTGTGCGGCAGGTGTTAGACATAGAGATGTCTGGCACCCTGCCACAGAAGCAGCCATCCTCTTCGCCCAGGGCAGTAATAGCTCCTCATGTTACTTTATGTAAGTAAGCCTGTGTTGAGTCTGAGGCCCTCACCAACAAATTTAGTTTTTTTTCTCTTATCAGAACGATCAGAGTGAGTTTTCCGTGTTGCTGTAACTTCGTAATCACCATTAGACTCATCCAACTCTTTCCGAATCCCCTGCATTGTCCTCAGATTGACACCAAAACGCTCTGAAATGTTCGTATAAGAGCTTCCGGCCCGAATGCCAAGCATGCCGTTTCCAAATTTTTGACGGAGTGAATTGCGTCATACTTCTTTCTTTCTCACACACGGTGCCAAATTAACCCTGCTATACTGTGCAGTGGACAAAATCAAAACAAACAAAGCGCATGCGCAAAATTAAAAATATACTAGCGCGACAATTTACCGATCGCACCCTGTATAATAATAAATTAGAGAAAAATTTACCGACAATACATTTTCATAGTAAAATAAAAATTAAAACATTGATTGGAAAAATTAATAAATTACCAAGACTACAAGAAAATAAAAAAATTTGGCATTAAATAAATAATAGGGAGCTGACATGCCATTAACCAAACAAAAGTAGGTCGAGACTGAAGGCTTCACCTAGAACCGGGGACTAAACAAAAGATTAAACTTGTCTTCCTAGTGCCAATCTTTGAAAATAGTTGTCTAAAAAAAGTAGTGTCATTATTCTTCACTATATCATAAAAATTCGTTTTTGTTTATTTTATATATTTATTTTAGAATCAAAAGCTTCGTAAACATTTATATAAGACTGATGAGTTCTGTAACGGGACTAGTGTTGCAAACATTTTATTTCAATTCCAGATAAGAAACTACATGGTTTCCCCTTCAAAGTAATCCCCCTCGAGTCTAATGCACTTTTCCGTCCTTCTCTGGCATGCACTGTTGGAAGGTTTCTTCTTGGAGTCCCTTCAGCTCGGTCATTTGATGACCTCCATGCTTTCAAAACATGATCCCCTTGAGCTTCTGGAATAGAAAAAAAGCAACACGGAGCAAGATCAGGTAAATAGGGAGGTTTTTCCAGTACGGCAATGTTCTTCTTGGCCAGGAACTGCCGGATGCTCAGGGTGTTGCGAACAGGTGCATTGACGCGGTGAAGCCACAGATTCCGTCTCTTCTCGTGCACCGAACCAAGCGAACGGTGCATTCTTCTCTGTCACGCTTTTTATGCACTGCTGGAAGGATTCTAGTTGGATGACCTCATCGTTACAGTCCTCTTGATGGCTTTTACGGCTTCAAAACGTCTCAGATTGATGATCCCCTAGAGCCTGGAGAAAAGGGGAAAAAAAAAGTCACACGGACCCAGATCAGGTGAATAGGGAGATTGTTCCAGTACGGTGATGTTTTTTCTCGCTAGGAACTGCTGGATGCTCAGGCTGTTACGAAAAGGTGCATCGTCGTACTGAAGTAGACTCTATTTGCACTGACTCTTGCATGTGAAAAAATGCAATAGTTGCAAGAACAAGGCTAAGATTACAGTTATATAGCCAATATATCATATTAGATGATTAAACAAAACGTTTCATCCTCTTTCGACCAGAACTAAAAAAGCACACCCAATCCACTTATTTTTAACAGTTTCTGTATGTAACTAAACAGTCTATAGGTCTCATTACATAATTCAAATACAAGAGAAAGAAAATAAATTGTGCTTGAGGATTGATAAGAGTTCAGTACTCGGTTCTTTGTTTCTAAAACAATCATTTTTCTTAACATCATTTTTAAAATTTGAAATTCATTCGCCTAAATAATTCATGGAATAATGACAATACTTCATCTGAGAACTTTAGACAACACTAGGAAGACTGGAGAGTTGAATACAACAAAGATGAGGATACTAGTCTGAATAATTCATGGAATAATGACAATACTTCATCTGAGAACATTAGACAACACTAGGAAGGCTGGAGAGTTGAATACAACAAAGATGAGGATACTAGTCTGAATAATTCATGGAATAATGACAATACTTCATCTGAGAACTTTAGACAACACTAGGAAGGCTGGAGAGTTGAATACAACAAAGATAAGGATACTAGTTTGAAGAATTCATGGAATAATGACAATACTTCATCTGAGAACTTTAGACAACACTAGGAAGGCTGGAGAGTTGAATACAACAAAGATGAGGATACTAGTCTGAATAATTCATGGAATAATGACAATACTTCATCTGAGAACTTTAGACAACACTAGGAAGGCTGGAGAGTTGAATACAAGAAAGATGAGGATACTAGTCTGAATAATTCATGGAATAATGACAATACTTCATCTGAGAACTTTAGACAACACTAGGAAGGCTGGAGAGTTGAATACAAGAAAGATGAGGATACTAATCAGAATAATTCATGGAATAATGGAATAATGAGAACGATAGGGAACTTTGAATCAAGAAAGATGAGGATACTAATCAGAATAATTCATGGAATAATGACGATACTTTGTCGCAGGAGTTTAGCCAATACTCTGATTAGAATTATGTTTTTATATGGAATTGCGATTTTGACCTCAAGAATATTGTCTTAAATAAGGTTTCTATAAGACTAAAGATTCACTAAATGGTGGCACTCTTCTAACAAAGCTACTTAATTTAATATCTAATTAATTAAATCTCAGCTTACGAGACATTTTACTAATGGTAAAGAAACTGATGTGTGTCGTCGTCATCAGAACCTTATTTAACACCCTAAACTTAAGTGAAGATCCCCTAAATATGCTGGTTGGTCATTTGGAAGAATTCTTGTTTGAAATCAGCTCCTTACTGATTTATTCTGTTATTCCCGAAAACAAATATCCTAGAAATTTTATTTATTTATTTAGTTTAATCTGGGAATATGTTATAGTATCGAAACACTGTGATATCTCGACTCTAACGAATAGGTTTGCACTACGAACTTATAGTTTTCCGGCGAGACCCCAAAATTTATATTTGCTAAGGTTATTATCCATTGTTAGAAAAATTTTATATCATTTGAGATTTATGTCTCTGATTAACTACATACTCTAGGACAGCGATTTTCAACAGATATGCGGCATATTTTTTTTAAGTCATTAATTTATTTTCGAAAGAATTCCAAATCACAGTAATGTATTTAACAAAATTGAAATGCCTTTAAATTGATTGTACGAATACAGAACAACCTCGGCTCTTGAAAGCCTCACATGTCGAACAAATCGCTTTTCGAACAGAAAATTCGAGATGAAAATGCCTCGGGTATCGAACAAAATTTCAATTCTCGAACAACATTGCCCAACCGAGTTAAACCGAACGGAATAATTTCTGAGTCGACCGTCGTGTTGTATGCATTCGTGCTTTTCTTTACCAATTTTATTGTACGGTGACTTTTTTCTTCTACATTGATTCCTATAGGAAAAATATTTTCGGTTTACGAACATTTCGAGTTACGAACGACTTTCAGGGACGAATTACATTCATGAACCGAGGTTCCACTGGGTATATCAGGTCATCCCATAAGTTCTGTCCGAATTTTGAATAAAGAAAACAAGTGACCAAATGTTACATTTAATTACAGATTCAATCAACAATGTATTTTCCCTGATTATCTATGACTTCCTTCCATCTATTAACAAGCTTACTAATTCCATTACGGTAAAATTCTTTTGGCTTTGATTCGAAGAACTCACAAATGTCAGTTTTAACCTCTTCCTGTGTTACAAAAGCTGTTTCTTCCAAATGATTCTGTAAGCTACGAAACAAATGGTAGTCTGAAGGAGCAAGATCAGGAGAATAAGGTAGATGAGGAATTTTCTCCCAACCAAGTTCTTCGATCTTTTGTGACGTGATTCTTACTGTGTGGGGTCGCGCATTGTCCTGATGAAACATCACCCCTTTTCGATTCACTAGATCAGGTCTTTTTTTCCTCAAAGCTTGGTTCAAACGCTCTAATTGTTGACAGTATATTTGAGCATTAATTGTTGCATTAGGTGGTAAGAATTCAAAATGGATTATTCCTTGGCGATCCCACCAGATTGAAAGACGAACCTTTTGCCCATGAAGTTCCCTTCTCGGCTATGGCTGGGGTCCTTCCCCTTTACCAAGTCACTGTCTACGACGCTTAACATTTCAATAAAAGATCTATTTTCGTCGCCAGTCACAAGTCTATCGAAAAAAGTTGAAACAAGTTGGCGAGAATGGAGAGAAGAGCAGATGTCAACTCGGGATTTGAGGTTGTTTTCAGACAATTCATGAGGCACCCATTTTCCAAGTGTAGGAACTTTTCCAAGTTGTTGAAGATGGTGATGAACAGTTGTATGGTTTGAACTG